CGATGGTACGTTACTAGCTGTTTTTGTAGTTTGGGGTATTGAATGATAAAAAAAACAGCCTCCATTAAGCTGTTAGAGCTCGGGCAGAGCAGAGATCAGTTGCCAGGCTCTGCTCCTTAAGATGTTTAGGGGTACACTGTGGTATCATCTACAGATATATTTGCAAAGAATCCGGGGGTGTATTTGGTGATTTTATTGCACGGCATTTCCATAAAAGCAAGCCAGTTTCGCTGAAAACTGGACCAAGTAATTATAGAGGACACTCCATTCAAGCGTTAAGTCGGCTTAGAAATCTCGAAGAAGAAACGAGAATACATAATCATAAGAATGAGCAAAAAACTCATAGTATGAGCAAAATTCCTTTCTTAGAATCTCCAAACAATTCAGCCAAAAAACATTCGACTAAAACCCGTCTGACCTAGTGACCTGGTCATTTCAGAGCTCTTTCTTTCTCTCTCTCTCTCTCTCTCTCTCTTTCTCTCTTTGTGTGTGTGTGTGTGTGTGTGTGTGTGTATATATATATATATTTTAAAGAAAAACAAACCATTTTATATACCATTATATATATATATATTATATATAAATATATATATATATATATATATATATATTAATGCATGTTTCATTAAATAATATAGACAAGTTTTGAAAAATTTCAAAGCAACGACACACTCGTGTATACGAGACGCGGAATCAAAAATCGCGTCGTAGCTCGTGACGTCACGCATGACCACGCGAGAATGAAAACGGAAAGTATTAAGTATGGGAAGCCGTTGGTATAAACCAATGGCTTCTGTTATCAATTATAGGCATTTAAATATATTTGTGGAGATTTCGTAGTTTATTTTGTTCAGGTTCGGTTTCAACTGTTTTATGTATATAGCTTCAAGAATTTTTAGTTTTTGTTTATTGTTTTCATGTTTAAGTATAGTTGTATTTTCAACGAGGATTTTCCGGAATTGTGTACGCGGCCAGGCAGGTTGTTTTAAATGCTTAAATTTTTCATGCAACTAAAACAGACTATCATTATTGTTTCATCCGTGTATTGGTTGATATATTGAAAATTAATTGTCATCTTTGATAATCGCCTATGTAAGCCGAAAGCTTAGATTGGATTTAAACATGTATCAATATGGTGATTTCCATTCGGCCTTCAATGATAATGTTATTAAGCTTATCAGACAATATGAAAGGAACTTACTTAAAATAAATGGACAAAACATGTCTATATTATTTAATGAAACATGAATTAATAATATATATATATATATATATATATATATATATATATATATATATATATATATATATATGTGTGTATGTATATATATATATATATATATATATATATATATATACTAGCGGTATGACCCTTCTTCGACCGGATCTTTCATTACTGGGGATTTTTGTCGTACAGTTGAAGCAGTTTAAGTTTAAAGTTAACCCCCAAAAAGATTACAGATTTGTCTATATTATTTAATGAAACAAAGCATTAATGAAAAATTGCTTTATATATATATATATATATATATATATATATATATATATATATATATATATCCAAGTATAGGATTGTTATACGGAATAAATTCCAATAACAAAAAAATACTGTTCTTAAAAAAGTGCTCAATACAATGTAGAGCTAATATAAATTATTCGAAAATTATAACATAAATATTTTATAAAGTCACGACAAAATAACCATTTTGTTTCAACACTTCTGGTGTCTTATATATAAAATATATATATATATATATATATATATATATATATATATATATATATTAAATTTTTTTTAATTTAAGAAAGGTCTGATCAATTGGATCGTGATTACGATTCCAATGTAATAAATTATAACTATGGAATTTAGTGTTTGAGCCTTATATATATATATATATATATATATATATATATATATATATATATATATATATATATATATATGTATAATGGAATCTCCCGTCCGTTTCGACGTATGAGGATCTGGCAGCTTATTGATCCATTTATGAAAGTAAATATATATATATATATATATATATATATATATATCTAAAAATAAAAAAAAGCACTGAAGTATTTGTTAAAAAACATACACGTTAAAATGTGCTGAATTTCAAGTAGGAAAACCAAATTTGCAGAGCGATTTAATATCTTAAAAAGATAAGAACGCTGACCGGAACACTACCGTGGTTTTTACCGCTGAGGTTCGTCGTCTGTTGGTTTGTTCAACGAATCAATCAGAGGCAACGCAAGAAATTAAATATTTTTATTCGACACCGGAAGTTGTCGTAGGAAAAAATAAATGAAAAAAAAAACTGAATTAAAGTGAATGCGAAGGAAAAAAAGATCGAAACGCGACACTAAAACATTTTCATTTTTTTTGTCATAATATATATATATATATATATATATATATATATATATATATATTTTCATCAAAGTTATCATAATGCAAGACTCTTCGTTAAATAAATTGAGTTCTGTCAGTTATGTGTGTTTATCTCAAAAATAAATAGGCTTTTGAATTTTAATTCATCATTTTGCCACAATATCAAGGAAATAAGTGCTTTAAATCCCTGACTGACGTCTATTCCACATTTTGATGAGCTGTGATACTGCGAAACAGTCTGTCTGTTAATGACAAAAATATATATATATATATATATATATATATATATATATATATATATATATATATATTATGACAATATATATATATATATATGACGATATTATGGTTCGACCACACATACGCATATTGCATTTGGGGTTGGTAATTTTTTAATTTTTTTTTTTTTTTATCTAGTCGAATTTATTTAGAGTCATTTTCTTTTTTCTTTCCATCGCTTTTATAAGTAGGTATTTTATTTGTGATATATAAAAGATCTTAATGGAATTGTGAAATGTTCTAAAAACCATGGCGCAAATGACCTTGAGGTTATAGACATTTAAGTTGCAAGGTCATCTACAGTAAATTTGCGCCCTGGCTCGTTACCATAAAATTTACCTAATACTGTTCTTGATATATAAAAATATATATCGTTATCTCTCTCTGACCGGATGTATTATAAAGCGTCTTGTCTTGTCGAACGTAATTTCAATGAAGAAATGAATTGAATAAAAATATATATTTTTTTTTTCTCAATAATTTTGTAGTTTTTAAACTTAATAGTGATTAAATTTGGATTTTAAAAATTGCCAGTTTTTAATTTTAATATTAAATTTTATCATATAAATTTATAATTATTAGTTAGTATAAATTATTTTTTAATATTACACGTATTTAAAGATCTGAATAGCTATTATAGCAGGATTTCGTTGTCAAGCTTTTGAATCTTTCTATACTTCGTTTTTTGATTGGTTATTCTAGCTTTTGTAACAATGTTTCCCATGTAGGATCGTTAATTAATCTGAAACTTTTAAAACCATTTATTTTCTTTTCAACATCATCACTTGATAAGACACAGAGTGTGTTGAAACAAAAATGGCTATTTTTGTAGTGATTTTATAACATACTTATGTTATATATATTTTTATATAAATATATATATATATATATATATATATATATTGAACAATAAAAAAATATTAAAAATTAAAATCTTCAGACACACTGGGTTGTAGATTAATATTCTTTCGTTTTTTATTATTATTATTTCATTTAGATTCCTCGACTAGTTTCGACCCAAAAATGGCCATCATAGGGAGGAGAAATATTTCTGCTTGCTGGTAGCAGTAAACTACAGAAATGAATGTCTTTTGCTGGAGAAAATGAACTTTTGTCTGTAGTTTTCATTTGTTTTTTTTTTATCTTTTTAACATGAATCTTTTAACATTCCTTGTGTTGGTCAAACAGTCTCTTTTAAGTTGTTATTTGAGATAAGAGCTGGATGGATCTATGCTTCTCTGAATTCCCGTGGTCATTTTGACAGTTTTATTAGTCCTGGAGAGGGGATGTGTCTCTGTTTAGTGTTTGTGTGTGTGGTATTTGGTTCTTAGGGAGTGAGTGAGTGAGTATGATATGTGAGTATGATATATATATATATATATATATTGATATAAAGGAATATGGATACACCTGAGTTCTCCTTCACTGAATATGATTGGTTGGTGTCCGTCATAAATACAGACGGACGTGTAAATAATGACAGAGTTTAAGTCTATGACGACGCCCATTGGACTACGCCATTGGCTATTCTATTGACAACACCTATTACCTGCGACTACGACGAGTACCAATCGATTACTGCTACCGTGTACTACTTATTTACAGTAGGCAAAAACCCAGCTATTTAAAATATATATTTTCGATCTAATATATCACTTTCCGGGACATTGATATATATATATATATATATATATATATATATATATATATATATATATATATATATATATATATATTATAAATTGTCGCCATTTTATATTATAATTTCTTGCATGCGCGTTGTTTGTTTTTAATTCTGTCGACTGCACAGTATAGTCAGTTGGGTACCATCTGTGAGAAAAAGTGCACCATGATGCAATTCACTCAGCCAGAACTTTGGAAACGGCATGCTGTACTGCTTGGCACCAGAAGCTCCCATACAAATTTCAGAGTGGATTCGAAAAGAGTTGAATGATTTATCCAGTCAACATCATGATGTTACGGGTGATCACTTGTGATGGAGTTGTTATGCCGCCATTTATTTTCCTACCGAGCTTCAGAACTCAATATGAACGGCTACATCAAGTGCCTTGATGAGGTAGTGCTGCCCAGGGTCAAGAGTTTGGCGGTAGGAAGGCCCTATGTCTGTCAACAGGCATCTACAGCATGCCGCACAAGCAGGTGAAAACAGTCATGGCTGTGGACAATTTCTGCCACCACATCAATTAGATTACATCTGTATTTAGACTGAAAAACCCCTTGATTATTATGGGTAATTGCAGTTTGAGCGAAAGACCAACAAAATTTTTTTTTTCAGAGATGAACAGAAGAAAAAGGATTAACTAAGCATTACCAACTTTAAACAAGGAGACCGTCCAGAAGAGTTGTGGGGAGATAGATAGATAGATAAATAGATAGATAGATAGATTGATAGATAGATAGATAACCATGAAAACATCGGGATAGATAGATAGATAGATAGAAATAGATAGATAGATAGATAGATATGAACAGAATGAGATAGATAGATAGATATGAACAGAATTCCAGATAGATAGATAGATAGATAGATAGATAGATAGTGAAAAAAAATTAGACATAGATAGATAGATGATAGATAGATAGATAGATAGATAGATAGATGAATATTGAAAACATAGATAGATAGATGATAGATAGATAGAAAGATAGATATGAACAGAATGAGATAGATAGATAGATAGAAATAGATAGATGGAAAGATCATTAAAAAATATTTTAGATAGATAGATGAATGAATGGAAGATAGTTAGAGGATGGATAGATAAAATAGTGAAAACACCGATGGATAGATAGATAGATAGATAGATAGATGGATAGATAAAATAAATAGAAATTCTTTTCGAGATAGATAGATAGATAGATAGATAGATAGATAGATAGAAACACTGACAAAGATAGATAGATAGAGGATAGAAGATAGAATTATGAATGGATAGAGATAGATAGATAGATAGATAGATAGATAGATAGATAGATAGATATGGAACAGACATGAGATAGATAGATAGATAGATAGATAGATAGATAGATAGAGGGGTGAAAACAAAGACCAGATAGATAGATAGAAAGAAGATAGATAAAAAATGATATGAAATAGACAGAGATAGATAGATAGATAGATAGATAGATAGATAGATAGATAGTGAAAACATCGAGATAGATAGATAGATAGATAGATAGATAGATAGATAGATAGATAGATAGATAGATAGATAGATAAAAACATGAAGATAGAAAGATATGAAAAGAATAGATAGATAGATAGATAGATAGATAGAAGATAGATAGATAGAAAGAAGAAAGATAGATAGATAAAAACATCGAGAAAAGATAGATATGAACAGATGAGATAGATAGATAGATAGATAGATAGATAGATAGATAGATAGATAGATAGATGACAGAAAATCATTATGAAGTGACTGGGTGTGGTTGTGTTGTATTTATTCCTTTGAAATGATAAATAATTGATTATGCCAGGAAAATGGAAGCTAATGGCTTGTATCGTTCTTCCACTAATCCTTCTCCTGGTCGAATGTCCGGCAATAGTCGCTTGACGAGTGGGACAGCGATTAATCTTGTCCTTAATTCCGGCCCAACTAACAATCGGCCGATTATCATCAAGTGTTTATTACAAACAGGCAAGGATACTCGCCTTTGTCAAGATCAAAAATTGATTTGATCAAATCAACACGGCAATAGATAAAGTATTATTTTATTTTGTTTTCTCATCAAACAACCTAACAGAACTCTTTTTATGAGTTCATCCAATAAAGGGCACAAGAGCCACTCAATGCAGAGGGTCATTGAATCAGTTGTTGGGTATGAATGTAAGAGAAGGAAGTGGCCATAATGAGTATTTTTTTTTTAAGTCTGCGTATAAAATGCGTAGAAGACACGGTGGAGTGATGGATAGCGACTAGCGATTCGGATTAAAGAATTGGAGAGCGGAGTTCGAATTCCAGTCGATTCCATTATATTCATTTACGTTGGGAAAGGTATGACTTCTCTTCTTCTCACCCAGCTCTGTGTAAAATATCGGGTTCTATATCTTTGAAAAAATCTGTATTGTCGTCAACTATCGAAAGATACATGATTACCTATGCCTGTATCATGCATGACACATAACTGTCTGATAAAATATTGTCTGATTTTTTCGATATATATCTTTGTGGGGGGGGTCAATGTTCTGTATGCGAAGTCGGTCAGTTATTATTATTTTATTTATTTTAAATGGTACCAGATTCAGAAAGAGGCTTTTTTTTAAAACTTTTTTTCGGAGACAAAATCACATTTCTTTTGACATGGGATTTGCTTTCCTTTTGTGTTGAAGTCGTTGAAATTAAATCCCGATAGGACATCTAGTTTTGTTAGCATCGTTTCGATGTATCAAAGTTTTAAAACCAAAATGATAAAAATTCTTTTATTTATTAATCAGTTCACAGATGCAAGGGATAAATTTTTTGAAGACGCAGGGAAATCCAAAAAGTGAAAGAGACTTTAGAAGGAACCTGAAACCGAATCTTAAACAAGAAACAAGGAATATACCTTTAATTCTGTTCAAAAGCCCGGGGAGAAGTGTGAACCGGGTTATAGGATTTGTTGAATTTTACAAATACATATTACTTATCACTTTAACCGATATTAGTAGATACGTGTGCCCAGAGCAGGGATCGAACATGCGTCTTCGTTTCTAGAACACTATGTTTTTAAAACGTAATTATAATTTTACTTTTTTCTGACACAATACGTTTTCATTTATTTCAGCAACAATATTATTCTTTAGATAGATAGGAGATAAGAAGCCCATTTATTAATTTCTCCAGTCCCAGAAACGGAATTAGAGGATTATACCTTGTTTCCTGTTGTAGGATTGCGTTTCCGGTTCTATCTAAAGTCTAACTTAAAAAAATAAAGTTTCTAAAAATCTCCGGCTAAACTAAAAAAATTTTATTTACAATTTATTTATTTTTTTTTTTTTTTGTTTTGTTTTCAGAGAAAGTAGATAAATCCATATATCGCATATTTAAACACTCCTCTCCGGTCTTTTTGATTAATAGAAGTAGAGGTTTATCTATTGTTTCTTATTTAGGATTAGGTTCCCAATTCCATCTAAAGTCTATTTCAACTGTAAATTTTAACGTCACCGCCTGAAGTCTGAAATTTTATTTACTATTTATTTTTCCTCAATAGGAGTAGATAGGTTTGCCTATCGTCCGGTTCACACTTCTCCCCAGTTTTTTAAGAATGAGTATAAAAATTATCCTTGTTATTTTTATCAGGATTGGGTTTGGATTCCTTTGTTTAATGTTTATTCCATCCTATATTTAATGGCATGAATGTTCATGGTGTAAACCATACCCATTGTTATGTGTCCTTTTGATTAAATTTAAATTTATATACAATTTTCTTATTCAGATTTTGTTAAGTTTGTACAAACATTTTAAATGCAATCATCGTTTTCCTGAATTTTTTCTGTTTGGGATCTATTTTGTTAATTTAATTTATAAAATTCTTCTAATATTTGTTGTAATTAAATCTTTTTTATCCTAACACAGGTTTTTTGCTTTTAAATTGACTAAAAAAAACCTTGTCAAACGTCTCATTTATAGATTTTTCCTTTATACATCATCAATTCTTTTTCTTTTTTATATATATATATATATATATATATATATATATATAATGTTGTTTTATTGTGTTTATATATATAATATATATATATATATATATATATATATATATATACAGCATTTACAAAAAACATTTTTCAAACGATTCTGTGAATTTAAAATAAAATTAAACTAATGAACGTTTACAGGTTTTCTAATGATATATATATATATATATATATATATATATATATATATATATATATATATATATATTACAGACATTGTTTTTATGTTTATACGTTCTTTTTATAGAGATACAAATATAGAACATTAAATAAATCTTTTTTATAATAAACAGTATTAACAACATTTACCGACCTGAATATTAAGAAATTTTTAAAACAATTGTCGGACTTTGTCCATTTAATATTATATATATATATATATATATATATATATATATATATATATATATATATATATATAAATATTTACACAAAGAACACTTTATTATTTCTAATTTTGTGGACTAATTTAAAATACAGCAAAACGTCGAACGGTTCTATTAATGAAATATATATATATATATATATATATATATATTTATATTATATATATATAAAAATGTATGTATTTATAATTTTTGTATTTATTTTTTGGCAGGTGGTATCACCAATGGAAAGACGTTTAGATTTCGTTCCTAACAGCATCGAATATCAAATAAAATTAACTTTAATTTCATTTATGAGGAAAATGTCTATAAAAGAATGGCTACCAATTGGAAATGTTGAAGAAATTAAAAGAGGCAAGAAGGATGAAAAACAAGAAATTCGACAGTAAATAAACTGGATGAGAAACAATACCCTTTGAATAGAAGTACATTTCATAGAAACGATGTCATCAATGATACCAAGGATATTAAAAATCTTTTCAAAGGCAAAGTTGAGGTATGGAGAGAAAAGCGGAGATCAAAAATGACATGAGGAAGGAAGGAAGGAAGAAAGACAAAATTTTGTCTGAATTGGAAAAATAGATGGAAAACCAGTTTTATCATTAAACTGTGGCTGGGGGCAACAATAAAATCTATAATTGATCAAAAATGATTTTATAACATGAAGAAGTGGATGGTGATAAAAATATTAATTTTGATCTGGAAAAATGGGCGGGGGTGAACCAAAAGATAATTTTTTTTCAGGAATTAAAACCAAATAATAATATTTTTTCCATATTAACCCCCCAGGAAAGAATTTCCCCAATTAATAAATAAAGGAGGTAAACATAAAATCTTTATCAATCAAAAAATAAAAAAAATGTTTGAAGAAAATTTTAGAAAAATTTGGGATGAACATTCAAAGGCATCAGAAGATGTCGATTGACATTACATTAGAATATTTTGAAATTATATTTAATCATCGGAAAACTTTTAAAGGGGCCAAAAACAATGAAAAATAAAACATAAAAAAAATTTCTGTTCATAGAAGAAACGTCTATATTTAACCGTTTCGACAGTGAATTATATAGGACCAAATATGCCAAACCTAGTAGAAATGTTTAAATTCATATTAGTTTGGGATATCAGTGATTTGTAGCTCGTCAGAAACAGTTGTCATGAAAATTTTTAAATTTTAAAAAGACAGATGGAAGAACAGCATGTCTATGATATTTGTGACTGTAGACGATCCATACAGAAAAAGGACCAATCACATTGCATATCCGTTTGAATTTTGTCGAAACCCTTAAGATGAACAGCGGGGGTTATATTATCAAACATACAAATTTATTAAATGTGCAAGGGCGAATGGTTGATTAAAAATTTGAAGTATTAAATGAATTAGCGAGAAATTTTCTTGCGATATAAGAATCAATTAAAATATACAATTGAGAAAAAAATGTTTCAATTTTAAATTTAGAGACTAATTTTTAAGGACAAGTTATGAGATAAAATTGATTTTCGATAAATGGTTTCTCGAACAAATGGTGAATTCAACACATTAAAAAACTGTGAATAAAAAAAATTCTTGATACTGTTTTTTAATTTTTTTTAATTTTTTTATATATATATATATATATATATATATATATATATATATATATATATTATATTTTAACTAATTTAAAATATGTTTTTCTTCTTTACACAGTAATAACCATGTTTCAAAAATGGAAGCTAAAAGCTTGATTTAAATTTAATTTTGTAATTAAATTAAAAACATTAGTTCCATTTCATCCTCAAGCGAATTTTGAGTAACTTATTTTTTTAAATTTACTGAGTTTTAAAGGCAATTAAAAATTCATAATTCACTGTTTCCAAGGATACAGAGAAACAAAATCATTCAGATCTAAGGGATGGTAGCATGTTCATTTTTATTAACTTTTTGTTGTATCAATAATTTATTAGAATTATGTCAAAAAGAATTTATGTTTAATTTTTCAACAAATAATTTTATCAAATCAAGACATGATTTTAAAATTTTCATATCGTCTTTTTTTTTTTTTTGTGTTTAACGGCAAAAATTGGCAAAAATTTTTTACTATTTGTATACTTAAAGATTTTTGGGGGATGTTTAGGTTAGATTACGTTTTATTTAACTACAATTTTAAAATATTTTCAATTTTAATTTTAATAGACTATATTTTTTTTAAAAATAAGTAAATGTATTAGAATTACTTACAGTATATAAAATTATTTTTCAAATCAAGTATAAGTATGTATATTACCAGGTAAAAAATTTTTAAAAAATTTTAAATTTAAATATTAAAAAAAAGGAAAATTTCTGACAATGAAAAAAAAAAATAGATAATTCATTTCTCTGAATAGTAAATTTTTTATTTTTTATAAATTAGTAATATATCAGTTTATAATTTATATATAAAATAATGGGTCTATTTAATTATATATGAATATAAATGATTTTATATTAATTTAATTTAAATAATAGGCCATTTTTTATTATTTAAAAAATGTTTAAAAGTATGAGAGATGATGATTTATTAAGAATATATTTTATTTAATTATTATTTTAAAATATTTTATGTTTTAATAGAGCAAATAAAAAACAGAATTAAAAATAAAAAACAAAATTTTTATATATTTTGAAGAATTAACCATAGCGATATTATATATTTTTATTATTTGATAATTTATAGTATTTAAAAAATATTTTAATATTTTTTAGATATTTGTCCTTATTTTTAACTAATTATGAACAAGAAACAAAAATATGTAAAAAATTTTTCTCCCAGGGCTATATATATGATATACAAAATTTTTTCAAAAAAAATAGGTTAATCATATATTACACTAAATCTAGTATATCCAAATAATTATTCGTAATGATTCTTCCCCCACCCCCTGTTAGTGAGTTTAAAAATCGTAAATAAATAGTTTACAAATTTAGAAGTGCCCTTTGGGAGATTATTATATATATAATTGGATTAAATAATATTTATGTTGGTCACACCAAAATCGCTTTCACGACGCTGAAACTCTACATTTGAATGATAATTCTAACATTTTAGGCATTTAAAACAACATGCCTGGCTGCATACACAATTCCGGAAAATTTTGTTGAAAACACAACTATATTTAAACATGAAAACAATAAACAAAAACTAAAAATTCTTGAAGCTATATACATAAAACAGTTGAAACCTAACCTGAACAAAATAAACTATGAAATCTCCACAAATATTCTTAAATGTCTAGAATTTATAACGGAAGCCATTGGTTTATACCAACGGCTTCCCATATTTAATACTTCTCGTTTTCACTCTCGCGTGGTCATGTGTGACGTCATGAGCTGCGACGCGATTTTCGCTTTTCAGCGTTCGTATATGCACGAGTTTGTCGTTGCTTTGAAATTTTTCATAAAAGCAAAAAACAGACTATCATTATTGTTTCTTTTCCGTGTATTGTTTGATATATTGAAATGTAATTGTCATCTTTGATAATGGCTTATGTAAGCCGAAAGCTTAGATTGATTTAAAAAACATGTATCAATATGGTGATTTTCTTTCGTCTTTCAATGATAATGTTATTAAGCTTATCAGACAATATGAAAAGAACTTACTTAAAATAAATAGACAAAACTTGTCTATATTATTTAATGAAACATGCATCAATATATATATATATATATATATATATATATATATATATATATATATATATATATATATATATATATAAATATAT